ATAACAAATATGTCATATGAACCTGTTCTGTGCAATGGTTTAGCACAGAGCAGCCCCCATCCTCCTCTCCTTGGGTCCCAAGCCGGCACTCCTGGCTCCTCCCCCCTGCTGTGTGCCCCCAGAGCAAGCTGCTTGCTCTGGGGGAACTTTTGCGTGCCCCCCCACTTCCTCCTCACTGGTCATGATTGACAGCAGCAGGAGCCAATGGCTTCTGCTGCTCTGTTTCAGCCAATGAGGAGGGAGAGACCTGAGAGAGCCTCTGCTCTCGTGCACATCTCTGGATCGGGATCAGGCTCAGGTAAGTATTGGGGGGATGATGGGGGAGCTACTCACTGAAGGTTTTTTACCTTCATGCATAGAATGCATGAAGGTAAAAATCCTTTGGCCACTTAACCTTAGTCCTTAAAGCGTATTTATGGTAAAAATTCAAAATCATATATTAATTCCAAATTGTATTTTATTTGTTGCTAGCCTACTGCTATTACTCCAAACAATTTAGACGTTTGTAAACTCACTTGTGAAGTTCCTCACATATTTATTTTCTTGAGTTATGTGATACTCATCACTATGTCCTGTGAGCAGGCACTGCTGTGTCACACATTTCACAGAGACTGCCTTCTAAATACAGAGGTGCTGAAAGGAGGAGTTTTAGGAGGCGGAGCCAATACAGGAATCACTGCTTGCAGGCAACAAGGTACCATGGGATATGTAGTCCTTAGAAATTAAAAGTAAACAGCAGAGGAGAAGCTGCAAAGCATGCTGGGAATCCAGGAAGTTGTGGAAAGAGATGACAAGCAGACAGGCAGAAATCACAAAATGAAAGGAGATTTTTCAAGTACGCTTTTATTGGATTGCCAATAAGTTGTTTGTATTGCTATTATGATGCTGATGTTATAAAATGAAAGTGTGTGTTGTGACCATAGATTTCCTTTAGGCACCCCTAACAGGTCATGCTTTGGGAGTTTCCCTTAGATAAAATAGCTGTCATAGACATCAAGTCCTTGAAGAATAAATCCCATGTAAATATAACTGTATATAATGTGTTTTCAAACGCTACATGTGGAGAACTAGAGAACATAATACTTACAAATTGTTCTGTGTGATGGAATCTTCCATATTAGAGCAGATCAGTGGTTCCCAACCTTACTCCTTTATGTATCCCCAACAGGTCATGTTTTGGGAGTTTCCCTTAGATAAAATAGCTGTCATAGACATCAAGTCCGTGAAGAATAAATCCCATGTAAATATAACTGTATATAATGTGTTTTTAAAAGCTACATGTGGAGAACTAGAGAACATAATACTTTCAAATTGTTCTGTGTGATGGAATATTCCATATTACAGCACATCAGTGGTTCCCAACCTTACTCCTTTATGTATCCCCAACAGGTCAGGTTTTGGGAATCTCACTTAGGTCACATAGCTGTCATGACTACAAGCCATTGACATTGGCTTGTGTCTTTTTGATATAACTAAACTTCCAATAAAAAAATGTACTTGTGATCAAGGTAGTAAATACTTACCCCTCTTGCCACCAGAGCTACTGAGCACAGCCTCCCTGAAAAGAAATCTCCAGCTAGGGTTTTTTTGGAAACCAATAATTTTGGAAGTATTAAATTCCAGTGCCCCCACTGGGGGGAATCACTGAGCATGGGTATGGGGAGGAGGGGAGGCAGAAGAACACCTGATTTCAACTCCCCTGAATGTTTTGGTTTCAGAAAAATTTTGGAGAAGAGGATTTTCCTTTAGTGAAGTTGCACTCATTTTTGAACTGCAGATAAAAGCATATCTTTAAATGTTCTCTTGTACTTAAAGCGAAATGTGACAAACGTGGGTCAGACCACCGCCCTTTTCACCATTTTGTGACAAACGGCTGGTCAACCTCACACTGTGCTGTCACTGATATGGAACCATGACACTCTCAGCTTCTCCTTGCACAAAGGTTTTCCAGCTTGCGGGACCACAATCTAAGTGCCAGCAGACTAAGTGCGATTGTCACTGGGTTACTTGATTTGCAGAGAATTTACCCCCCTTCCTGACCAGGCCATTTTTTGCGATGCAGCGCTGCATTATTTTAACTGACAATTGCATGCAACATTGTGCACAAATAAAATTTATGTCCTTTTTTCCCCACAAATAGAACTTTCTTTTGGTGGTATTTGATCACCTGTGCATGTTTTATTTTTTGTGCTATAAAAAAAAGACCATCAATTTTGAAAAAAAAAACCAAAAAACAATATTTTTGACTTTTTGCTATAAAACATATCCAGTAAAAAACAATTTTAAATAAAATTTCTTCATAAATTTAGGCCAAAATGTATTATTCTGCACGTTTTTGTTAAAAAAAATCCCAATACGTGTAAATTAATTGGTTTAAGTGAACGTTTTAGCGTCTGCAAATGGCTGTATACATACTGAAATTAATGGCAGCGATCAGCGACTTATTGCGGGACTGTGGCAGGCATTCTGACACTGGGTGGGGAACTGACTAACTGCCACTGACATCCCCAGTGACAATAATACAGTGATCAGTGCTAATAAAAAGCACTGACACTGTACTAATGACTAGAGATGAGCGAATTATTCAAAAATTCAATTCGGCTGATTCGCCGAGTTTGCGGAATAAATTTGATTCAATGCGAATTTATTCGCTGCGAATTTAACTTATTAAAAGGGTTTCTAGGCTTCAGAGAGCCTTTATATTAGTGCAGAACACTGTACCTTTAATTTAAATGCCCTTGGAGTCTGCTGGGGAAGAGAAATAATACTGTCAGTCAGTATGACATGCAGATGAGTGCCGTCGATCTTAGAATCACCGCACACTTCACTCATTTGGGCAGTCACGGGGCACGACGAAGAAGATGAAGAAGAAGATGAAGAAGATGAAGATGAAGAAGAAGATGAAGAAGAAGAAGAAGAATGAGAAGAAGAAGAAGAATGAAAAGAAGAATGAAAAGAAGAAAAAGAAGAATGAAAAGAAGAAGAAGAAGAATGAAAAGAAGAATGAAAAGAAGAAGAAGAAGAATGAAAAGAAGAAGAATGAAAAGAAGAAGAAGAAGAATGAAAAGAAGAAGAAGAAGAATGAAAAGAAGAATGAAAAGAAGAAGAATGAAAAGAAGAATGAAAAGAAGAAGAAGAAGAAGAATGAAAAGAAGAAGAAAGAATGAAAAGAAGAAGAAGAAGAATGAAAAGAAGAATGAGAAGAAGAAGAAGAATGAAAAGAAGAAGAAGAAGAATGAAAAGAAGAAGAAGAAGAATGAAAAGAAAATGAAGAAGAATGAAAAGAAGAATGAAAAGAAGAAGAAGAAGAATGAAAAGAAAGAAGAATGAAAAGAAGAAGAATGAAAAGAAGAAGAATGAAAAGAAGAATGAAAAGAAGAAGAAGAAGAATGAAAAGAAGAAGAAGAAGAATGAAAAGAAGAAGAAGAATGAAAAGAAGAATGAAAAGAAGAAGAAGAAGAATGAAAAGAAGAATGAAAAGAAGAAGAATGAAAAGAAGAAGAAGAAGAATGAAAAGAAGAAGAAGAATGAAAAGAAGAAGAATGAAAAGAAGAATGAAAAGAAGAAGAAGAAGAAGGAAAAGAAGAATGAAAAGAAGAAGAAGAAGAATGAAAAGAAGAAGAAGAAGAATGAAAAGAAGAAGAAGAAGAATGAAAAGAAGAATGAAAAGAAGAATGAAAAGAAGAAGAAGAAGAAGAATGAAAAGAAGGAGAATGAAAAGAAGAAGAAGAAGAATGAAAAGAAGAAGAAGAAGAAGTAGGATGAGGATGAAGAAGAAGAAGAAGAAGAAGAAGTAGGATGAGGATGAAGAAGAAGAAGAAGAAGAAGGATGAGGATGAAGAAGAAGAAGAAGAAGAAGTAGGATGAGGATGAAGAAGAAGAAGAAGAAGTAGTAGGATGAGGATGAAGAGGAAGAAGAAGAAGAAGTAGGATGAGGATGAAGAAGAATTCCATTCCAGCAAAAAGTGTATCTGCAGAGAGCTCCGCTATTTCTGACAGTTCTCTGATAGTTCCTTCACATTTACAGCGGTTGAAACATTGTATCTATTTGTTTCCGAATAAAAACATCTGTATCCTAAATGGAAACAAATAGATACAATGTTTCAACTGCTGTAAATGTGAAGGAACTGTCAGAGAACTGTCAGAAATAGCGGAGCTCTCTGCAGAAACACTTTTTGCCGGCTGTAGAAGGGATGAAAATCGTCGGATCGGGGAAAATTCGATTCGTGCATCCGAAGTTTGCTAATATTCGGATTCGACGCGAATCGAATTTTTCCTAATATTCGAAACGAATTCCACTTCGCCAGGTTCGATTCGCTCATCTCTACTAATGACACTGGGCAAGAAGGCGTTAACATCTGGGGTGATCAAAGGGTTAACAGTCTGCTGTGCAGAGCAGTACAAAGCAGCCTGTTTGTGCTGACGGGAGAGATCTGTGTTGTTTACATACAGACCTCTCCCCTGTTAGCTCCATCAACGATCACCGAGTCCTGGACGAGAATCGGTGGCCGGGACTTGGTGATTGGCATGCTGAGGAGCCAAAAGTGGTGTGGGTAGGGAGCGCAAGTGCACGTATAATGTACCCTGAAAGAGGTGTTTATGATGGCATTCTGGTCTTCTGCTGTTGTCTCTGCATCTTGTCCAATGGGGTCAATTACAAGCAGAATGTCTGTCCATAGAAGAAGGAGGGCTGGTCACTTAGGGCAGCATGTACTAAGATAAGCAATGGTTTACATTATTTGGTATGCCCTTCACTGTCTGTAAACTGTATAATTTTCCTTGTTTACCATGTATGATATCTTCTATGGTCTATGTTTTTCATGTGGCCCATGAGCTCCACTTTTTCCCACATATGATTTTGTCTTCAATGACCAGCCAAACCCACTTCTTTTAAATCATGAATCCCTTCCTTATTGTTGTTTTTTGGTTTGGCTAATATATTCCAATCCTTGGCATTTGTAGCCATAAAAAGCATTATGCAATAATAACCACTTGCCAACTGCACGCATTCATTTTACTGCGGGTGGGTGGTTCCAGGGGTGGACTGACAACTCATGGGGCCCCCGGGCAATAGGGGATCATGGGGCCCCTGTGTCCTTGCCCAAACTCAAAAAAAGCCTATGAAAAAGGTACCAGGGTCATCTCATGGGGCCCCCTACTGACCCTGGGCCCTCGGGCAGTGCCCGTGTTTCCAAATGGTCAGTCCGTCCCTGGGTGGTTCATATAGGCACAATCACGTACTGTATGTTTGCACCTTCTTCCAGGTTCCAGGAGCACAGGGAGCAACCCCCCCTGAGACCTGCTAATGGGTTGTGTCAAATCACAGCCCACAGCCATGTGTTGAAAAATACACAAAGTTCTGTACAGAGGGAACAATCTGTTTGTTTCCTCTCAATGCAAAGCTGGGAGAAGGGACAAACAAATACTTATTAAAAAGCCGCACATATTACACACATTACACATTGTTAGGCACACAGTTAACACTTTGATTGCCCCTAGATATTAATGCCTTCCCAGCCAGTGTCATTAGTATAGTGTTAGTCTACAGTACTCTCACTGTATTAGTGTCACTGGTGATGTCAGTTTGTGTACCTCCCAACCAGCATCAGTTAGTTTCAGATTGCCCACCGCACTTTCACAGTCCCACTATAAGCCGCTGATCACCGCCATTACTAGTATAAAAAAAATTAGGAAATAAAATTCCATTATATATTCCATAGTTGTAGATGCTCTAACTTTCAGACAAACCAACAAATACATTTTTATTGGATATGTTTTATAGCATATAAAGTAAAAAAAAATATATTTTTTTTCAAAATTTTCAGTCTTTTTTAATTTATATAGTAACAAAATAAACCCAGTGGTGATCAAATACCACCAAAAGAAAGCTATATTTGTGTGAAAAAAATTATATAAATTTCATGTGTGTACAGTGTTGTATAACTGAGCGATTACCAGTTAAAATAGCGCAGTGCTAAACAGCAAAAAATGGCCCGGTGATGAAGGTGGTAAAGTGGTACCCAATCATAAAAACTATACTAAGCTGCTGAACAGAAGAAGTCTGTTGCTACCAAGCTCTGGCTTCAGGGTGCTGAAGTGGCCAGCGGATTCACGGTGCTGAAGCTGGCCAGCGGTTTGTCCATACCCCAAACACTCTTCTTCCAAAGGAAAAAAACAGGGACACATCTTAAAATCTCTTGTGGGTAAAACTTGATTTTTCTGGACAAACGACATGAAGTCCCACCTAGGATGTCCTCTTCTGTTGCATTTCAGCATAATTTGGCTTAATCATAGATACTTTATTATATAGTAACCCACAAGGGATTCTACAATGTGTCGCTGGGCATTTTTCTCTTGGACTCATGTATTCTAAACTGCTGAAGGCTAGAATGCTGATACATAAACACTTTTGCCCATTCTCCACCCCACTTGTATAAAGTCATTAATTTTCTTAAATAACATCTAGCTCTTTATTGTGACTATTGAACTCTACAATATATATATATATATATATATATATAAAATCTATGACCTATAAGAAATGATTTGTGCTTAGTGAAACAAAAACCAGGAGTGCTGCTCCCAAAAAGTCGAATAATAAACTTATAGCAATCTAAACATAAACTTTGTGCACATCTCTACATTTATAGCAATACAATGCAGTATATGCTTGTGAACCTTCTCAATACAAAAAGGCTAACAAACCACAGCTTTATAATAAATAAGTGCAATCCGCCATATAAAAAGTGAAACCAGCCATATAAAAAGTGAAAAGGTGCTCAGTCCAACATATATTCTCCGAGATTCATTAAAATCTTGATAGGTGATGAGCAAACGTGATTCCTCCACCAAATAAATGATCAGCCTCTTACTTAAAATATTGATCTCACTTTCCAGAGATCAATACACGCTTGTGTGCTCGTACTCAGCACTCACCTCACGGATACTTTCACTGCCTTCTCAGCATATTGTGACAGACACCAGAAGGAATATTCTTGTGCAATAAACAGATATTCCCTCCAGAGAAGAAGATCAAAGGACTGAAAAGGTGTTATATCATAAAACATTTTTTTATTTAAAATAAGCAGACATATGCACCTCCTGTCTGGAGTTTGCATGTTCTCCCTGTGCCTGCGTGGGTTTCCTCCGGGTACTCCGGTTTCCTCCCACACTCCAAAGACATGCTGGTAGGTTAATTGGATCCTGTCTAAATTGGCCCTTGTATATGAATGTGAGTTAGGGACCTTAGATTGTATGCCCCTTGAGGGTTAGGGACTGATGTGAATGTACAATATATATATGTAAAGCGCTGCGTAAATTGACGTCGCTATATAAGTACCTGAAATAAATAAATATACTGTACTCACAAACATAAGAAGTATGGGAGCACATAAGAAACAGACACCAAAGCCTCGATTGTATGACATCACTGGCTAGGCCCCGCCAAACCAATCAGCATCATCAGGGGAATGGAGTATGATGCTAATAATGCTCCATTCCTGTGACGATGCTGATTGGTGGCGAAACATGTTAGGCGGAGCCTATCCGGTGATGTTTGATTCATGATTTGATTGAATCTCAGAGAATATATGTTGGACTGAACACTTTTTCACCTTTTATATGGCTGGTTTCACTTTTCATATGGGGGATTGCACTTATTTATTATAAAGTTGTGGTTTGTTAGCCTTTTTGTATTGACAAGGTTCACAAGTGTATATTGTATTGTTATAAATGTAGAGATGCGCACCAAGTGTACGTTTAGATATATAGTCTATGCACCACTTTGTAAGTCTTAACTACCTGAATTTGTTGTCATCCTTCTGTAATATCCCGTACAGCAGGATTTAGGCGGATATAAAGAGGGCCAGCAGAGCAGACTGAGCAGAGGGATGGCTTAGTCTATCTACTGCTGTTCCTTCATTGTCCAATCATAAGTTGGTGGCAGGAGAGTGAACTGAGACAAGTAGGGTTGCCAATCTGGTTCTGCTTTCTGGCATGGGTATGAAATTTTTTTTTTCATGAATAGAAAAATACAAATCCTTTGAGAGGTAAACCAGCTCCAAAGGGGCGTTCTAACATGATTTGTCCTCTACTGGGGCTTAATCACAGAGATGGTAAGGAATGGTAGAGAGGGTAAAGGGAGGACCAAAATGGAGTGCCTGTGTTTAAGTATGTATTGAATAATAAAGCTGATTGTACCCAAGGGCATATTTACCACAAGCCAAACAAGGCATTTGCCTAGGGCAGCACTTTTCAGGGGGGCAGCAATGCCCCCCTGGAAGAAGGGACACATGCAGCATGGGGACCAGGTGGGATCTGAGAGAGGCTGCAGGCTTCTTGATGGTGTATGCAGAGCCTAACTCTTGTTCCCAGGGATATCCAGAGCTGTAAAGGTGAGTGTCTTTCTCTCTCCTGGAAGGGGGGGGGTTGTATGTTAGTGGAAGGCTCTCTCAGGTGGGGGGGCAGGGGTGTTGTTGGTCAATGTCAGGCTCTGTTTATGGGGGGAGGGGGTGGTTTTGGTCAGTGTCAGGCTATCTCCCCCGTAGGGGGGGAAGCTCTGATTTTTTTTTTTGTTGGTTAGGGCAACACAAAACCAAAATACACCACTGATTTTACCTTTTTGTAGTGATACATAGTTCCAGGACTTTGTGATATGGTGTGTAGAAGAAATGGAGGAGTGAGCACCTGCAAATTCCCGTTTGCAGAGCAGGAGACGCTTCAACTTTTGTGAGTAACTGACTGACTTTACGAATTGGATGGAGTTGTTTTTAAACAAAAACAGGGACTAACTGGGAACAACTTTAAATTTCATAAGCACTGATTCTGACTAAATGTGGAAGCTGTGAGTTTTAGGATATTTGTGTAGCATTTCTCCCATAGGAGCCGCAGTATTTATTTATTTATTTCAGGTACTTATATAGTGCTGTCAATTTACACAGCGCTTTACATTTATATTGTACATTCACATCAGTCCCCAACCCTCAAGGGGTGTACAATCTAAGGTCCCTAACGTACATCCATACATACACATACTAGGGCCAATTTAGACAGGATCCAATTCACCTACCAGCATGTCTTTTGGATTGTGGGAGGAAACCGGAGTATCCGGAGGACACCCACACAGGCACAGGGAGAACATGCAAACTCCAGGCAGGTGGTGCTGTGGTTGGGATTCGAACCAACGACCCTAGTTCTGCCAGGCGGAAGTGCTAACCATTTAGCCACTGTGCTGCCCTATTACTGTCCAGTTCTTTCCCAAAAGCTTTGCCCCACAGCCAGGCACATAGGCTCACTCACACGTTTCTTTAATGACCAATCTAGGGGTGTTGTTTTTATTTTTGGAGAACTTGAATAGGAATGAGGGAATCAGGTGGGATACTCCAAAAACAAGAACTTTATACCGTTGAGGACTTTGGGTATTCTTTTGGATAAGCTATGACCAAGTCCATGCTTGAAACAAACAGTAAACTTCAGCTTTAAGACAGCAGTGATAGTAGTAGCTCATACTATTCCCCCCAGCCCGTGCCCCCTCCCCTGACTTCCCCAACAAGATCAATAACACAACCATCAGTCCCTTCCCTCATGCCAGGGTACTAAGTGTAATCCTAGACTCCCATCTGTCCTTTCAGCCCCAAATCCAATCACTGTCCAAATCTTGTTGACTTCACCTCCACAACATCTCCAATATAGGACCGTTCTTAACCTCGGAAACCACTAAGCAACTTATTCACTCCCTTGTTATCTCTCGCCTTGACTATTGTAACTCCCTCCTCATTGGCCTACCTCATCGCAGCCTATCCCCCTTCAGTCTATCATGAATGCTGCTGCCAGACTCATCCCCCTTACTAACCATTCCATATCTGCCATCTCTCTCTGCCAATCCCTCCACTGGCTTCCCATTGCCCAACGAATAAAATTCAAAACATTAACAATAACATATAAAACCATTTATAACTCTGCCCCAAATTACATCACCAATCTTGTCTCCAAATATCAGTCCAAATATTGCCCTCTCTGCTCCTCCCACGACCTCCTGCTCTCTAGCTTCCTTGACACCTCCTCCCATGCTCATCTCCAGGACTTCTCCAGAGCCTCCCCCATCCTCTCTGAAACTCTCTACCCCAATCTATCTGACTATTGCCTACTCTGCTCACTTTTAGGCGATCTCTGAAAACCTATCTCTTCAGGGAAACCTATCCCGCCTTCAGCTAATAACGGAAT